ATTTGAGTGAATTTCGTTTACTGCATTACCGTCTTTTTTGCGACTTCTCCAGCGGTTTTCATTGCCGTCGCTGTGGACTTCAGTTTGAGGTGTAAACTGAGGATTGCTGCGGAAGCATCCGATCCAAATTTCTCTTTAAATTCTTCACATTTCTTACGAATCTAAACCCAATTCAGGATTTTAATTCAGAAACTGTGATTTCAATTCTCCAATGTTTGAAAACATCAATGAAGCGAAAAGTACTTTGAAAAAGCACGTCACAGCGTGGAACCACTGCTATGCGTGAAGATATGAAAATGAACCTCTGTCAATTTGCCCGTATCCTCGCCAATTTCCCCGCAATGTATTTTCACACCACCCTCACCGATACTTCTCATTAATGCTCCAATAGCGACAAGCGATGCTTCTCGGACACTTGGATCAGCATCAGTTGTAAGCTAACAAAAATACATTGCTTACATCAAAAACGATTTGAGTTCCGACAATATTTCTCCCTCGCTCACTCTGTTTGCTCCCCCTCTGATTTCTCCTTCTTTCACATATCTGTCTTGCGAATTAGTCACATGACTATTCAGAACATGGTGGGTAGGCCCGCTCCTACCCGCATACATTGCCCGGTCTGAGGTTTACAGCTAAGAGATGAAACACAGACTAACTACATCGTAAAATATCCTTCGCCACCGATACTTAAGACTAATCCTACATCCTACTATTTCACGAATAATGGTAACAACGCTAAGGCACTTTCCTCCTCTAAATTTTCGAGCAGAGCTCATAAAGCTATGTGGGGTGACGAAAGGGGAAGGTGGAAAAGTAGAAATGTTAAGTTTGAAGACAGTGGAATCACAAGACATGTAAGGAAACATTCTTTGCTTCATCCTTTAGCAGAAATCTTCGGTTATAGCGAAACGTCTCTTTGCAAAAGTTTCATGAATAATTACATAGTTTAGAAAAAGAAGTCACAGTTTCGAAGGCGACTGCCATCTCAGCCTATTTCTATGGTTTAACGAGTCTCCTCTCCATAGTTCTTTGCAACTTCCCTCAACATGACTTCTTTTTGTTCGCCGTGACTTTGCTATCCTGCTTAACCCTGGATCAGTCTTGTTACCCTCTTTTTGTTGCAGGCTTAAGCAACCTCTCTTAAGATTAAGCCGATGAACTGACCTTGCTTAGAACTGGACCAAGTTTTTCCACGCAGTTTCGAGGCAATGTTTCCGCACTGTGTTTGCAAAATAGCCTTGAAATAAACAGAGCAGTCTGTGCCTTGATCTGCGGATTTGTTTTTTGGAGCGCAGTGTCCACAGCTCCAAGATATGCCGGAAGGGGTGCCTGAACATCTTTCCGCCATTAGATTCAAAAGAAAACA